AAGATCTTGTATATTTCCTTTTTTGTTCTTAGTTTTTTTTTTTCTGTCTGAATGTAATATTATGGCAGATTTGTCTTCAATATTTTTTCTTCTACTTGATCTAATCTGTTGTTAAGGCTTTCAACTGAGTTTTTAATTGGACTTATTGAGCTTTTCATCTTCAAGATTTCTGTTTGATTCTTTTTCAACATCTCCATTTCTTTATTGGATTGATCATCTATATCCTGCATTGTCTCCCTCAATTCATTCAACTTTTTATTTATATTCTTTTGGATGTCATTGAACTTTCAAAAAATCATTCTTTTGAATTCTTTGTCTAGCATTTCATCTACTTTGGTATCTTTGGGATCTGTCACTATGGAGTTATGAACTTTAGGAAGTGACATAGTATGTTGGTCTTCTTGTATTTGTATGTTGAGATTTGTGCATGTATTAGGATATGGATACCTCTTTCATTTTCATGTGGTATTCTTTTTGGTATGTGGCTTTCTTCTCCCAATGTAGCTTGAGGTATTGGCTTGTTGTATAGTATATGTTGCATTTATTTCTAATCAGACTCTATAACCGTAAGTTCTTGGGTTTGGGCACAGAACATACTGTATTGGAATCAGAGACCCACTGTCTCTGAAAGTCTTATAAAAAGAGGGGGCACTCTGATACTTCAGGTAGATGTGTAGCCAGCAGAGTATGTGGGATGCACCCTTTGGGGTTATTCTCCTACAAGAGTTGTAGCACCTATCTGGAATTGGGGATTTCCACAGGTATTCCCTGTTGATAGCAGCTTTGTTACTTGAAAGTGATTCTGATATTTGTTACTCCAGCTGCACTAAAGAGCCTGAAGCTTTTGTCCTCTGGAGACTGGTGCAGATCTATGTGCTTCACCAGCAGGGGAGGGGCCTGAAATCACAGTTCCTCTTAGGACTCACCTTCAGTCTTATTAATCCTAGTCAATCAGATCAGTTTCGCCTCCAATCAATACGACCCATGTAGATGTGGTGTCAGCAAGCATTGTATATTTTTCTTCTGTGCAGCTATGGTTGGGGAATCTGTCCAGCAGCTGGACCTTAGCCTCTTTCTGCCTGTGCCCACCTGGGAACTGGTCAATAGCTGGGAGTTTACATCTAACCTTTTCCTTAAGTGTCCAACAGGGTTCCAGTGAGACTGGGTTGTGGCTGGAGTTGGGCTTAATTCTTCTTAGCAAAGCTGGGAGGATAGTTTAGTAGCTGAGCACCTGCCTATCCCCAGCACCAGAAGCAGGGGTGGGGGTTACCATGACAATAATAATAAATAAATTTAAAACAAAAAGGATAATGAAGAGGAAAAACACAAAAATGGAAATAAAAGGAAAATGAGAAGAACAAAAATAAATTTTTAAGTAAAAGTTAAGGAAAAAATAAAAGAATTGACATAGATTAAAAATGACTCAAAACTTTATGAAGTGCTTAAAGGTCTGAGTGTGGCTGATCGTAGTCTATGTTGATTTAAGTATCCTTCCAGTCTTTTAAGGTTGGATTCTGCCAGGTATGAGGCAAGTGTAGTGGGTTGAAGACACAGCCAAGGCTGCAGCTTGTTGGAATTCTCCGCTTTGCCATGCTAGTTTGGGTGGAATGCAGGCTGTGCCAGGTGTCTCTTGCCCAATAGATTCAGGTAGAATGTTGACCACAGCAGGAGGATATTCTCTCCTGAGGTTACTAGTCTGCCCACCTAGGAGCATGGCAAATGCTAGTGCCTCTAAGAGCAGGAAGAGCAAAGAAACCACCGAATTCTTCAAATTCTTCATTTGGGGTGTTTTTTATAAACCCAGTGATCTGCTACCCTGGATTCCAGCACCTTCAGACCTGACCCCTGTGTGAAACCACATGTGACACCACATGTGATTGGTGTTGCTCTCAACTGCAGAGGGGAGGTTCCCTGAGATTCCCTGTGGTAGTCTGCACTCCCAAGGCATAGAACTTCTCAGCAGGTTTGTGTCAGACACTCTCCCAATCCAACAGCATCCTGTGTGGCCACCTCCTGCCCAGTCAGTATAGCAGGGTATCCACAGGGTATTATGGTGTCAGATTTTCTGACCCCTGCCAGATCAGTATAATCTCAAGAGGGCTCCTGGATATAGCATCCTGAGAGTTTGCTAAGAGAGGTAGGGAAATTTCTTTTCTAAAGCCAGCTTGTGCAGAGTCCAGGTCACTTATTTAAGCTGTCTGCAGGGTTCAGCCTTCCACTCCATGGTGCAAATCTTTTACCTTTACCCTCTTAGACGGTAGAGTCCCCTTCCCCCGAGGATCTGAGCACCAAGTTCTGGGGTATTCCACTTCTCTTGTTTTGTTACTCTCCCTAGTCTCTGGATTCCACCAGGTCTCATTTTCTGTGCTGTCAGTTTTCAGCGGTCACCCATGGCTACTCACCTCGAGCAGTTGCATACCTGTTGTCTTGTTTCTGCCTCCAGAGAAGTAGGCTAGTGCTGGGTGCATCTCTTCTGCCATCTAACTCTCCATCTCCTTTAGGTATCATTTTTAAACATTTTTACAGTTTATTAATCCTCATGAAAAATTCACACTATCACCGCAGCTAAAGTCATTGCAGAAGCTTGACGCCTTTGGCTTTTTGCCAGCTCCAACATTTGCCTTCACAGTCCCCCTGACTTTCTTCATTCTGTTCTTGCGTTCCTTTCGCTGTTTTCTTGAGGTCTTTTTCTTTTCATACAGGCTGTATCTTGCCAGTCTGTTTGGGTTCATTTTTCTTTGCATAATCAAAGGAATCATAAATTTTGCCAAAGCCAATTGTCTTGCCACGTCCAAAATGGGTTCTGAATCTAAACACAAAGATAACATCTGGTGTGGTTTTGAACATTTTGGCTAATTTTTCTAGAATTTCTCTCTTAGGAACTGTTGCTTTCCCAGGGTGAAGGACATCAATGACCATTTGTTTCATCTGAAGTAGTCGATTAGTCATGAACTTTGTGGTCTGGATAGTTACTGTGTCATTCATGATGGTGGCAGATCCTCCTCCTTTATGTATTCTGATACTCTTATTGAACATTGGTTGCTGGTATATTCATGAATTTATTATTGTATATGTTATATTGAGCGTTGTTATGGTTTGGATGTGAGGTGCCCCTCAAAAGCTCATGTGTGAGACAATGCAGGAGGGTTTGGAAAGGAGATGATTGGATTGTGGGAATCTTAACCCAGTCGGTGAATTAATCACTTGATGGGATTAATTTAGTGGTGGCTGGGGGTGACTGGGGTGTGGCTGGAGGAGGTGGGGCATTGGGGACATGGATTTGGGGTATTTATTTGTATGTGGCAAGTGAGGATTTCTCTCTCTGCTTTCTGACCATCATGTGAGCCACTTCCCTTTACCACACTCTTCTGCCATGATGTTCTGCCTCATCTCGAGACAAAATAGATCTGGCTATGTATGGATTGAGATCTCTGAATCTGTGAGCCCTCAATATAAACTTTTCTTCCTCTAACATTGTTCTGGTCAGTTTTTTAGTCATAACAGCAAAAAAAAAAAAAAAAGACAAAATGTTAAGCTTTATGATAGCTGTCACTATATAATGCTATCAGTTGATTTTATTTAGTCACCTATATCTGTCCATTCATCCATTGTGTTAGCTTTTTGTTGTGATCCAAATACCTGACAAGAACAACTTAAGAGGAGGAAAGATTTACTTTGGCTGATGGTTTCAGAGGATTCAGTCCATGGTCCACCAACTTTATTGCTCTGGGCCAGAGATGAAGCAGAACACCATGGCAGAAGGGTGTGGTGGAGGAAAGCTGCTCTGTGAGTGACAGCCAGGAGGCAGAGGGAGACGGAGAGGAAGGGGCTGGGACAGTTCCCAAGACTATGCCATCAGTGCCTTGCTTTCTCCATCCATGCCCTACCTGTCTATAGTTTTCACTATTATCCTCTAAATACATTCAAATTATTTAACCATCAAATGGATCAATCCACTGATGAAATTAGAGCCCTCATGATCCAGCCATTTCCTCTCTGAACATTGCTGCATTGCTTAACACATGAACTTTTGGGGGACATTCCAGATCTAAACCATGTTGTTGATTAGCTGAGTGGTGCCATTGTGAAAAACGTAGGCTATGATCCCGGCCTGGATTCAGGTTACTTCAACTTGAAGAAATAGAAACTCAGAAAAGCTTAGTTACTTACAGCTGGTAAGTAACACAGCAGGATTCTAGCCCAGGTCTGCTCATGCTTAATCTGATATTTTCTAATATCTCCACTAAATATATTCTCTTTCTCCTTTCCACTTCTGAGAATTACATTTACTCTTCAAAAGTCCTCTCAAATGCCATCATTTCCAAGAGGGCTTTTCTGATTCTCTTGGTCTGATATCTTCTTCCATGTGTCTTGCTTCTGTCCATTGCATTAATAGTATATATAGAGCTTTGGGTTTGTGCTTGGTTAGCCCTCCCCATGAGGCTAATTAGGCTGGAGAGACGGCCTGCTCCTCTCTTGAATCCCTATAGATTTGCTCTCTGTCCATGGCATGTACATTCATTCTTTTCTATAATTTAGTTTGGGTAGACTCCAGAAGCCTTTCTCTAGGATATAACTAGAAATTAGGCACATAAACTGTTACTTTCTGGTCCAATTTTTTTCCCCTTTAGCAAGATAGTCTCTATCCAAACAACCTTTTAGCCTGGGCATAAATTTGAAAGATAGTCTCTTTCACTATCTTGCTGTTGAATTACAAATATTACTAAACCATAAAATAATTTTACACTATGTAGACCTTGCCTTTGTTTTGCTGAGAGGACCCAAGAACAAGGAAATTCCTACTTATTGGGAACTTACTATATCTCCAGTGTGATACTTAGTTTTGATAATATAAAGAAGGAAACTTGGAATTTGTCTGCAAGGAGTTTAGTTGTCTCTAGGCACCAAGCACTGAACTTTGTTAACATGGTCTGATTCATTTCCTCTGGGATGTTGGAGATGCCAGCTGATGTGTCTACTCTTTGGATCACTCATCCTAGGTTTCCACACTCTGCACACGATCCTTGGAGTCCACTGTCTCCCTTTGCACAACTTGCTGGATTATATTGATAATGGAGTGTTGCTTCTCACTGAAACAGCAGTCACAAGGCTTATAAAAGGTAAGAGGCCCTGAGTGTATAAGTGTGCTGGTTCCAGCCTAGGCACCACCAGAGCTGGCTTTCTGGGTGTGCGAACTGTGGCTGTCACACTGAGCCTGCTGCACTAAGAAAGGTCCCATGCTTGGCTTAATGCCCTGTAGAGGATCTTGAAATTTGTAATATTTGAACATGTTCCTTTTGTACTGGTCCCACAAATTATGCAAGTAGTCCTGTTGAGTATAGTCCATTGCCTGTGACCACCTTTGGGCCAACGTAAAGTACCTTAGCTTTTCAAGAAGCCCCGAAGAACTTCTCAAGCCACACACAGCTATTTGATGTGGCTTGAGAAGTTCTTTGGGGCTTTCACTGTGCACAAGGGCACTTTGAGAATAGGAGACCCTGTAGGCTTGTTCTCAAGAAAGTGTCACAAAATGGCTTACTTACAGCTGATTGACTGTCATCATCTCAGCCTTGAAATGCAGGAAAAACTGAGAGAAGCAGTACTTATATGAATTTGATTTTTAAATAAGGTCTGTTATGTAGTCACTCACAATTGTGGTACTTTAGTAGATGAATTTTGTTAATGCATATGAGAACATTTGCCAACCCTGAAAGTACCTTCTGTTTTAAGTTAATCAATAATATTGCTTTGTGATTGGCAGCTTATTACAGAAAATCCCTTCTTATTTAGTCACCCACCTAAAATTTTCAAAGTGTCGCTTAACTCGAGAATATAAAGTTGGAATATATATTATCAGGATGAACCACTAAAGTGTTAAAGACTGTTTGTCTTATTTGACAACTCTTTCTAACAGATCTGGATAATTCAGAGAAGAATGAAAAACTGAAATTCAGCATCCTTGTACGACTTCCTCCGGTAATCCTGAATTTTATTTTCCCCTAAGTCTTGGCACGACCCTCTTTCAATTTCTTTTTGTAAGAAGAGCATTTACTTGCTTTTGGCTAAAGTCAATTGAAGTATTTCATTTTCCAGTTCTTCCCAAGAAATCCTATCCACCCCCACCCCTCTGTTGGCTATTTCCCCTTAGGTCTACAATGTACTTGCTTTTCTGGCTTTGCACAGTATTGGCATAGCCCACTGAGAACATTTAGCCATTTTCTCCTCTTAGGAAACCACACTAATATTTACATTTGAGTTTGAGTAGGAGTGAGAGGGGAAACATGTGCTTTTGGCATTTAAACTGATAAGAAATTTAAATGCAGGTGAGGTCAGAAGGTTCTGGAACTGTATTTCCTCTTAGTACATTTCCAGCAGGAAAACATTCCCAGGTCAAAGGAAGAATGAGAAACATGAGGGGAAAAAGTTAAAGGAATTCCTTGGAGGTTTTTCTTTCTTTCTTTCTTTCTTTCTTTTTTTTTTGAGGGGGAGGGGTGCACTAATATCCAAGTCTGACATACCACGAAAAATACAGGATTCCACAGCAAAGTCTTCCGACTACTTCCTGACCCTAAGAGCCTAAGTACCCTGTCCACAGTTTACCTCCCTTGAGTGCTTGTACTTCTGACACCATCCTCCCCAAGGGAGGTCCTTTCTGGACCTAGTGGTCTCACTTTGTAATAGTCTCTCTCCATCACAGGCTTAATGAAGCAAAGGCAAGAATAGAGAACAAAGCATATTTTCCCTGACTCAGTCTCTCTAGGGAACATTGCCGAACATTTAGTTTGGTCTATAAATTTGATTTTTGTTTTGTTTTGTTTTTTTGGCCTCAGACTTAGTGAATAAAAATTTCCTAGGTAAGACAGGGGCAGAGAAGTTGATATAAACATGCCTATAACCTTTTGTTTGCTTTTAAAATATCACTTAGGCTTGCCACACACATTTCCAGCTTTTAAGAGTAGCAGATAACTCCATTTCAGAAAAAGAATTTGGCAGCATGAATGTATCAACTGCTTTCCTCAAGGTAGCATTTGATGGGAGTCTTAATTCAAAACTCAGAAGCATACTTCATAGGAATGTAGTCTTTTTTTTTAAATGGCTAGTCATTTTGGAATATTACTTTTAAAATTATGAACACATAAGGTATATTTAATGAACTGTGAGATATATTCTTTATACAATTTTCAATTTGCATGATAGCTCATTGGTCAGAAGATCTGTCGAGTTTGGGATCATCCCATGAGTTCCAATATCATTTCACGGACCCATGTGACCCAACTGCTTCAGAACTATAAGAAGCAGGTGAGTCTGTGAAAACACAGCCCTTCCATGTTCCTGAATCCTGTTTCCCAGTGTCAACATATCCACATGGACAGCAACTGTAATTCTGATGACTTTAAGTGCATGATTGTTTCAGAGATATCAGTTAATACCAGAAGTGGTTTCTCTTTTAGTCTCGGAATTCTATGATGGACAAGTCATCATTCAGTGTAGAATTTCTGCCTCTGAACTACTTCATTGAAATTCTGACTGACCTGGAGTCCTCCAGTCAAGGTAATTCAGCCCTCTGTTCACAGCTTTCTCCTTGACACATCAGTCATTCTCTATTCACTTCTGTGTACCATTTTATGTTCAAAAATATGCCTTACTTTATAAGTAGGCCTTTACTGCAATTGATTTTCATTAGCCATACACAATTTACTGCCCAAATTACAAAAGGAATAATCACCTTTGATGTTTTAAAAGGGTTTAAATCCTGTTTAGTTAATGTGAATGCTCTTGAAATTTGATGAAATTTCACAACACATTCTGAGAATGTATTTTGATAAAATATAAAGTTAATGAGCTATGGGAAAAGGTTATAAATATTCCTCAGTTCTATAGTAACACACATACACATTTTTCCCCCCAGCTCTGTGTGATTTTGAAGGACATGACAATGTGGATGCGCAATTTATACAGGAAGCAGCTCTGAAACACACCACAATGCTTTTGGACTTATAAAAGAAAAAACATTTCTATTGTAACTACTTGTAATATTTTAATCTTGCTCATTAACCTTACTCATATTGATAATTCTTTAGCAATATTTAAAACTGATAAAAAATCAGAATATATTGTTGAACAGTCTCAATTTCAGTTTGGTCCTTGTTTAGACAGAATTAACCTCATTCCAGTTTTGAACAACCAATAAACAGTCAAGTGTATTGAAATGACAAACAGTCCAAGATGACCTACAGTGCCATAAACAGTGCTCTTCCTAGTGGCCAAGCAGACCAAGAGCTAGTTTCTGTTGAACTTTGGAATAAAATGGACTTCAGAAATGTAGGAAATAGTGCTGATGCCAGCAAAAACTTAAAAATAACAAGCAGAAGAAATATTGTATAAGAATTTTACTTGAAAAGGAGTTTTTTTTTAAATTGGACTAGATAAAATCTATCTCCACTATACCATCATTTGTAACATAGTAATTTGTACATGTAATAGAGTAGGGTTTGTCTTTGTGATAGTTCAGATGGAACGGTATTTAATTTTTTATATTTATAAAAGTTTGATTTAGTATTATACTATTAAAAAACCCAAATGCTGACAGCTTTGGTCTGACTCTTCTTGTTTTTGAACATAGCCTTTTTATCCAGGAATCTTGAGTCCATGAACATGTTCCTTTAGTGTTCCCCAGGACACCTTAACTGGTTGTACCATTTTTCTGTTTTTCTCTCTTACAGTGACTTAATTCTGACCCATAAATACAGTTGCTTCTGGGACTCAGCTTATAATGCTTTTTTCCCCTCTTCAGTATTCTTGTGAAAATTGAATGATTATAAATATCACCAATGATTATTCAACTTTTCTTCTTTAAAAAAAAGTCACCATTGTGTTATAAAAATTGCCCTCTCCTATAGAATTTCCTCTTTTGTTCAAACACTTCATAGTCACCAATCCTCAAGATCTTGGAGCCAAATCAGCAATGCAGTGCTGATTCTTTTGAATGAGGTCTTTTTTGAATTGTCATTGTCTAAAGCCTAATTTTTCACACACATATTTAAGATAAACATTAGTTTGATCCTATCAGTCTGCTCATAATCATTCAATAGCTTGCTATTCAGTAAAAGAAAATTCAAACTCCTTATCGTTCAACTTTTCCAAATCCTGACCCTGTATACCATGAGCATTCTTTTTTGCAGGTAGGCCAGCTCACAGGGACATGAATACAGCTTTTTCAAGCTATTTCTCTCACTTAAAATCTCTTTCCACCTGTTAAAATCTTTTTCATGCTTAAGGGCCAGATTAGAAGTTCTGTTTGATGGGGCTGGGGCTGTAGCTCAGTGGCAGAGCGCTTGCCTAGCATATGTGAAGCACTGGGTTTGATCCTCAGCAACACATAAAAATAAACAAATAAAGACATGCTTGTCCACCTACAATTACAAAAAATTTAAATAAGAAAAAAAGTTCCACTTGAGTATAATCCAGGTCATTTCAACACATGGTGGCACCTACCTTCTCTCAACCAGTAGTATACATTATAATGGTTAAATATCCATCCCTTGTGATTTTTAAAAGGTGTTTCCTTTTTTTTGGTGTTTGAACTTCAAACCTTTTAAAAAAATTGTTCTTATTAGTTATACATGACAGTAGAATGCACTTATGGTGTTTAAACTTATGTGCATATATTTTGAGTCCTTAAAGAGATTACTAGTTTCTACAACACAGCTCTCTTTAAGTATATAGCATTCATTTATTAACTACATGGTTGATATAGTGTTACTTATCAAAGGCACTCCCAAATAATTACTTTATAATAACTCTGCAAAGCAATTAGGTTAGATTTGGGACTCAGAATGAGAAGGAAATTAATTTTTCCAATTTGACAAGATAGGGGCTTAGAACAGAATATTTATCCAAATAAAGGGATATATTTCTCATTCCAAGAGTTGTGAAATAAAATTTATAATTACTACCAGTGACTATAAAAACATATGTTTCAACCTAGTTGTATATTCTTGTATATGAGAAATAAGAATTAGGAAAATACACTTGGTGAAATACAGTAACATTAGAGTAGTAAGTAGAATTGGCCTCATTTTCAGGTCTTCTCTCTCACATGCAAAACTGTCAATATAGTATTTAATTTGAGATTTTGATAAATCTGTTATTAGAGCTTAAAATAATCATTTGATTTACAGATAATGTGAAAAATTCGGATTCATAAGAAAGATAGATTAGGACATAAATATTTGTGTGGCAAAAAGATTCTTGTGAAAAAGAATCACTATAACATCAAAAAAGACAAGCTTGGCTACTGCTTCTTACCTGATTTAGATTTACTAACATGACCTTCAAGAGCCACCTCAACAAACTGAGTTATGCTTTGTGATCCTTGGGATATCTTAAGTTCCATGTGTGCAGTTGAAAAAGAATTTAATTCTGTACTTTGATGAAAAGTTATTTTATTCTGCACTTGCCTACTACATATTTCTGAAACTATGAAGAGTGAAAAATACATGAGTAATTAAAATATTTGCTTTGAAATGTGGGGCAATTCTGTGTCTTTCTCAACATCATGTGAAACACAGAAGTTAGTGTAAAAAGAACCAAGTTGTACTGTTGCTGGTTGCGCTTCATTGATCTGCAGTGTGAGAATGATGATGCTCACGTGCTCTGGCTGTAGAAATGAGGATTGGTCTACACATTCAAATTTCAATTGGCTTTATAACAGGTTTCCTTATATGCCTCATATTGGCTCCAGGTTCACTGGGCTTAAAAGGAGCCAGAGCACCATATGGCTTTGGCACAGGAAGAGTGGCGTCTGCTTCTGGAATGTAGGCATTTGGACGCTGCTCCGCTGATGTGTAAACACCATTGGGCAGCAGTTGATTATCTCTTTCTTGCAACTCCTGCAAAGAATCATTTTCTTTCAGTTTTCTGAAAACTCTAAAGTTACCTCACCTTCAGATCCCCAAAGACACAACTGAGTCTGAGCAGCCTTATGCTGTGCTCAATGATCCGCCCCCCACATTGCAACTCTCTGCTATGGGCTGTATTGGTTAAGCATCATGATGAGGCTGAGGCTTAGGGTTTATCAAAAACTGCTTGTTGGGTTCTAGACGCACTGCATTCCAACCTCAGTCTCTCATCAAGAGCTAATTATTTCTGCACTTTTTACAAAGGCAGAACAGTAATATTTTCTTTGCTAAGTGACTGATGAGCAAATTTACAACAGACTAGACAATAAATAGAACCAGAAGAGAGAAATGGTCAGCAGTTTGAGCCTCAAGGTCTTCAATATTTCTGCCGTGCCTCTGGAAAATAATCTTAGGGCACTAATGTAAACTCTACATGATGAAGAGTATAGTCCCAGGAAAGTATAGCCCTGGAAAGGCTCGTCCCAGATGGTATGGAAATTACAAATCAGACCCTGTGCTCTGTAGTCCTAGTATGGATTCAGACTGTACATTTTACTTGGCTTAGTGATAAATAGTGATCCTCTTAGGGACATTCACTTGACAGTCTGAATTGTACCCCAGGATGCCATCTCCTTGGCAGGAGATGCTTGATTCTATCTTAATCTACTGAAAGCTTATGAGGGTAGACAGAAGAACGGGGCACCAAACTTGTGTATGGATTCAATGGTAGAAAGAGACTTAGGCCAGAGGTGGGAGAAGAAAGGAGTGGCCTGGAGGCCTGTGATGCATACCAGGTGTGATGTCTGTAGAAGGCAGTGGCAATCACCTTGATATGCATGATATTGTGGAAGTTTACAATGTGCTGTGAACACAGAAGAGGCAGGTATCTGAGCAAGGGTGTGAGAAGAAAGACTGGAGACCTTTGGACGAAGCCAGTGCCATGCTGGTGGGAGCCCTGGGAGTAGGACTGGGAGGGGACTTGATGCTTATTGAGTGTTCTCCAAGTGCACTGCTATACTTTGACTTATCTATGTAATATAACAAGTTTCTTTTTAATGTCTTTTGGGACTGTGTGTAGGAGAGGAAGACATTTTTCATAAATGGGCTGAGCATCCCTAACCCCTAAACCTGAAATCCAAAAATACTCCAAAGTCCTAACTTTTTGAACACAGGATGTCACAAGTGTAAAATTCCATAGCTGACATCACCGTGGGTTGTAGTAAAAACTCAGGCTATGTGTGTAATGTACATATGAAATATAAATAGGTGCTATACCCAAGATAGCTCATTATGTATATGCAAATATTCTGAAATATGAGAAAATCCAAAACACTTTTGGTCCCAAGCATTTTGAATAAAGAATAGACCACCTACATAGGAAGACTGGTCCCCAGAAAACAGCCCTTCCTGGCACACTTAAATTTTTTTTTTTTATTAATCCAGGGGTGCTTTACCACTGAGCTACATCTCCAGTCCTTTCTATTTTTGAGAAAAGGTCTGGCTAAGTTGCTGAGGCTAGCCTCAAACTTGTGATCCTCCCGCCTCAGCTTCTTCAATTGCTGGGATTACAGTGACTGTGTCTGGCCTTTCTTGGCACACTTTACAAATGCAATATGGGAGCCAAAGCTTACCCGAAACTTTTCAGCGAGGGCCATTTCATACAATTCTTCATCTCGAAGTACTTTCATCCATTCTCTCTCAATGTCTTTATTGAGTGGCAGACCTTTTTCTAACCTAGAATTGCAATAAAAGATGAATTCTTCTTTCTCTTTGACTTCCTTCTGGAGTTCAATGGTCAGGGCTTGTTTCATGGACAGCTCAGCAACAAGAGCCATCATTTTTTCAGTAACATTTTTGATCCTTTTCTGATAGCCATTCATCTAGAATCAAAGAGCCCAAGGTTTAGTCAATATGTACATTCCATGAAGACTTGAAGAAAATGGCAGTCTGTTGGCTGTCTGTAATGGTGTGTGTGTGAGGGGGGCAGCATTCTTACCTGAAGGAAGGAAGGTTTAACAATTTATGGAAAATAAGAAATGAATGAGACTTCAGGGATTGAGCCCAACACCCTGGTGTATGAAGAAAGAAAATGTTTATCAGTTACTTGATTTTGCAGTGAACAGCATGGAGGGGAAGTTTAGTGTCTGTTTTTAAGAGGTGAGAAAAAGAGATGAGAGAATGGTCTTAATGCTTCAGTTCTGGCTGAAGTTAATAGTTTGTATCTTACCCAGCTGAACTAGAGCTTTGCTGGCCATGTCAAAGTGGTCACTATTATCATTTCTCAGGTACCTTCCAGGGAGACATTGAGCTTTGACAAATAAGCCCTCATTTTAAAAAAAGAAAGTGACTTTTCCTCAAGAAGGGAAATTCATTTTGCAGAAGGAAGGTGGCAACATTTACAGAAACATGGGGTGTGCAAATTCATGAGCTTAAGTAAGTATTAGTGATTATTTTAGGAGGTAAAGTTGTGAACTATAGAGCTGCCACTGGACAGATCAGTCTATTAGAAGTGGCCAGAGGACAAAGATAAAAACCAAATAAAAATGAAAGTACCCTAAGATTTACTATCTTTCCTATTTAGTGTACCCAACCTTTCTAGAATAGGATTATGTATTCATGGATGTTTTTCTAGAGTCTAGTACATGTGAGACACTGGGGAAACTTAAGAATGAGAAACTATTGCTGCCTTCTGGAGCCCCCAATCTGGGATATAGCCACCACCATTATCTATCATCTTCTGTCTCCCCTGCTGAACATCATACAAGGTGGACAAGGTGTCCCTTCCTCTTTGTTTTTGCCCTCACAGCCTAGCATGAGAGTAGCACAAAGTAAGAGTTCAGTGACAATGGCTGAGTGCTGAAATCCCTGTGTTGGCGAGATGTTGCCAGGGATTACAGGGGCCAGGTGAATGACCCATCTTCTCATTGCTCAAGGTGCTGAGTCTAGTCCTGATATGTCTGAATCCCCAACCTCCTTTCCTGTGACTGCAACTTTTAGCATAGCTTTTAGTAGTTCCGCCCCCAGTAATTTTGAAGCTCCATGTTATTGGCCTTTCCTCGTTGGTGGTGGCTGCACCTCATGGTGTAGTCAGCCTGGGTATAGTGTGTCTGTTCTGCTCTTCAAGGAAGCTGAGTTTGGAATTGGAGCCTTTCCTACAAACCACTGGATAAGTGAGGCCTGTTCAAAAGGCATTAGGATTTAATTTTGTGCATGAAATACAAAGATAACAATTTTCATACTTGAGTGGTTGCCTGATAACTTATTTACTATTATTGAAAAGCTTAGGTTTTTCTCATTGTAAAATGAATTCATTCAGGGAACAAGACAAACTTGTTTTGGACAATTTGGAGTCATTTTATAGTTTTATGTTTCTCTAATCTCTCCAGGGCTTCTCTCAATAAAAAAAGCAACCTGGAAAATGAGAGCTAATACAGGAGTAGGGGCAGAAGAGAGAGGGTGGGTTTCAGGCAGACCTTCTTGGCTAAGAGCAGCGTGTCCTGTTTGCAGGCCTCAGTTTTGCTGCAGAGCCTGTCTGTAAGTCGGGAGACCTGTTCGAAGATGAAATCCTTCTCTAGTAACTTCTCCTCCTTCTTGGCCAACTGTAGTTCCAGCTGTTGAAAACAATTTCAATAGGAAGAAAAAAGAAAACACTCATGCAAGGCACAATCTTCTTTCCTAATTGGAGCACTACCTGACTCCCACCCCACCCCCGAGTGGTGGAGAGACACTGCTTTCTCAGTTGTTGCAAGATTTTGGAGATTGAGCCAAGTCAAGACTTCCCATGCCCCAGCCCCCTCCAGATAACTCTGGGAGTTCTTCCCTCCTGGTGGACTAGGGCCTACTTCCATCAAGCGTCCACAGTTGTAATAGTTGAGTAGTTGTTTGCCAAATGAAGCTCCAATGTTTTGAAAAGCTTAGGTTTTCTCATTGTAAAATGAATTCATTCTGAGAACAAGGCAAACTTGTTTTGGAAAATTCTCTCAGTCATTTATAGTTTGTTTCTCTAGATGTAAAGCCTAATCTCCCCAGTGCTTCTTTCAATAGCTCCAGATAGCACTGGAAATTCTTACCTCCATGGTAGACTTTGGACCTCTCAGCTCTGCCCAGTACAAAATTATCATTCTTTTGATCAGTAAGACAAATTGATCCATTCATTCAAGAAGTCAAAATGGTTGCTTTTAGCCCTGAGGGAATGGTGTCTTAGGAATCTTGAAGCACTGGACTTTTACTTTTGGTAAGTGTCTAAATCCATTTTAAAAATTTTTGCTAGGTTACAGTAAAAGGACTCTATGAGTGGCTGGAATAATGGATAGGTCTCTCAGCATAACAGGAAACAGGACCACAGGTATCTCTGAAACTGTACACAAGAGGCAAGTAGATGAAGTTTTAAGCAAGGCTGTTTACCTCATCTAATTTTTTGATCATTTCTGCTTCTGTCAGGTCCTTCCCTCGAAGGAGACGGATTCTGTTTTTATCCCCAGGATTTATAAACTGTTTCTCCAGGTCTCTTATTCTGTCTGTACACTGTGCAAACTGTTAAATAACAAACAAACATTAGTTTTAAAACTAACTCTCCAGCTCAGTAAATCTTAGGCTTGTGTGGCCAGGGTCTCTAGAGCCTTTTAGTAGGCCCAATCCAGGCAAGGGTAGAGGAGAACTGTTTTCTTAACACCCGAAAGTTGGGACTTGTGGTTAACAGTGTTTCTGTTCACTCATGGGACCATGAGGATGATGCCTAGGGTTGACTATGCAAAACAAGTCTGGCTTCTGAGTCAGAGAAAAAGCTGAGTTCACAAACAGCCCTTCGATTGCTTCCCATTTTGTGTGGGATGCTGCATGGTTATAGGACTCAAAAATATACAGCCTATCCTTTTGTGTTGCAGGTTGTTACAGAGCCCAGGGTAGCTAGCATATAATATGCTGACTCCACTTTAAAACCATTTGCTGGCAATAGGCTTAATGGCATCCTCCAAAAGAAGAAAGTTGTTAATTATGGGGTCACACAGTGAAATTCTTAGCATCAGTCATGTGTATATTTTTGTTAAATCTTTAATATAATGCTTTATATATCAATTTGTTGAATCATTGAAACTTGGAGATAGATGAAGAAACAGGACTACACTCATACAGAAATGATAGGCACACTTAGTTTTTTTCTTTATAATGAGAGATGTGGAGCATGGTGACAATCAAGAGGCATTATTTCAACTTTCTACTGAAGGCTTATGTGATCAGGCAAATCATTTCTCTGAACCTTAGTTTCCTCAATGGTCACATGGGAAGATAAGGCTCAATCAATAGAGTTGATCCATCAAATGAGATAACAGATTTGAAGTATTTTACAACATGCCCAAGAGTGGCACAGATAGGATTTTAAAAATTCCAATCAATGCTCCTCCTCCTCATAAATTTTTTTTAATGGTAATAATTTTTTCCTTCCTTTCTACATTCCTTAATAGCACTTAATCCCACATATACTTCAATTCTATATTAAGATTTTAAGTTCTTGCTAACACAATGTTCCCTTAACTAGAAAACTGAGAAACAAAAATGCAGTGTTTATCAAAGTGCCTTCATTTTATTCCCCCATTGGCATCTGAGGAGAAACTGTTCACTTTCTCTCTATAAAAGTGTCTTGGTATCCTAAAATAGTTCAAGAGACTTCTAAGATCCCTAAAATGGAGTTGTTATTACAGGATCCAGGAGATCATGACTCATGATAGTTCTGTATTAGTCTGTTGGACAATTAAAAACTGTTTCAAATAACGTGGTGGTGGGGAAGCTTAATAGAGTTCTGAAATAATACAACAAAGATGACTTGAAAAAAAAAAAAAAGCTGAAACACTGCGTCTGAAACCAATAACAGGATATGATGAGGATCCGGCCCTGGAGGACAGAGTGCAAACATGATGTACTTGAATCTAGAAATTTTGCATCACATCCTTCCAGAGCATGTGTGATTAAATGCAGTTTGAAGATGAATGGGAAACTTTCTATCCAACTGTTCCTAAGCATAGAGTTCACCCTGCTAAAATAGGTAACTGATAAGATGTAGCACACATTTCGATTAATAAGCAATCAAAATGATAATGGCTCACCATCGTCATGCACGGCAAGTAGTATTAAATATTTTCCTTTTGGGTAAAACTGCATTCACATTTCACAGTGGATGATTTTATCTAATGAAATGCCAAGTATTTTTTTTCTGAAAACAATTTTCAGTGGATGGAATTATTGATTTGTGGTCCACACAAAGAATATGCTCACAGAGAAGACATTGTTCTATTTTTGATCTTACTGAATTTAAAGTCTTTTTGGACATCCTGATAGTTGAGAATGAATGGGCAAAGACAGACCTGAAGCTACATTTTGGGAGAGAGCTGAATTACTATAAAAAATTCAGTGACTGGAGGATAGTGTGGGACAATGAAGCTGTGGAGGGAAATGGGAGATGAAAGACCAGTCAGTGAAATTGAGCCAGGTGGGGGTGCTGCATGGGGCAAAGCACCTGGGGGTGGGGGGCATCCCTGAGACAGAGTGGCCCCAAAGGACTTTGAAGGGCATAGATTTCTTAGATCTAATTTGAAGTTCCTTGCCTTTCTGTAATATAACCCCATACAGAGTTGCCTCAGGTCTTCACTAAAATCTGTTCAAAGGCCTTGATCTTGAGTAGATGTAGACCAAGGAAGGGACCAGTCCAGAGGCTGCACTGATGTGGCACAGAAGTGGAACAGGCACTGAGTGTTTGGTCTGATGAGGTAAGTCCCCACATGAACCTCTTGTTCATTATTAAATTATAGGGGAATTAGAGATTAAATCTCATTCTATGTGACTGAACATTAATAAGCAGCAAGCTTCAGGTAATCACTTGCTCCAGAGGACAAGAGGACCACACATGGTGCCCAAGCTGTTCCCAGCAAGCATCAGCAGCATAATTATGCTGTGGCTATTGACAGCCTAGATTGCTGAAGTTTTAAGATATGAGGAAGCTGAGCTAGAAAAAGGGGGAAAGCAGGAGATGCTTCATGAGAGAACAATCTATAGCTATGAAGCCTTCTCAGATTCCATCCCAGAGTAATGTTTAAAGGTATTTTCAAACAAGACATCATTCATAGGTTGCTACAGGCACCAGGAGTAGCATGGATTGGTTTACATGCAAGAACTCAAGTGATCTACAAACTAATTAAGGTAAGAGACAAATGCAAATGATGTGAGGAAGTGTCCCAGGACAGCTCTCCCACCTGAATCTGGAGCACCGCAAGATCGGCATCCAAGGCACTCTTGACTGGCAGTAACTTCTTTGTCACGCTAATCTGTCTTTGCTTCTCGGCTATCTTCAGTTTTAGGAATCGGATTTTTTCTTCCAGGACATGTATTTCAGTTTCCCCATTTAGTTTCAACTTCTCTTGGATATTTATTTTTTCATAAAAAATGCACACTTCTTCTTCTCGCTCAATCAGCTGAACACCACTGTGGTCAAATTCAAAGGAAGAGGCTAAGTGAATGCTAAAGCTACTGTTTCACTAGTTAACTGTAGTTCCCTCTAGCTTTGGGTACATACAAACACACAACACAGGAAAATTCCAGAGGGTGGGAGATACTTACTGATGTTTTTCTAGTTAAAACTGCACACTGGATTTTCCTGGAGGTGTGTTTAGCAGCTTGACACTTAGGCCAACCATGTGATTAGTTGGCTGCAGTGTCTCTGTGGGTTTCAAAGGTTTTCTGGGGGGCAGGAAAGAATGTCATTCCCCATGTGTGAACAAAGTAATCCCATAGTCTGATTTTCTGCAGACCCTGTTCTTGGGCCAGATTTGCCAACAAAATCCTGACCAGAAGTGCACAGGCAGGGGGCCAGAGAATGTGTTTTGGGGGTAATTCTGCTCTATATCAAGTTGCCAGGCCCACTAGGTTCTTTTAAAGTTGAATATTTTTTGATGCTAATTTCCCCATAAACAGGCAAAAATATGCCCTTTGTAATCATGCTGATGAGTGGGGGTGACCCCTAAGACCCCCCTCCTTGAGAGGAGACTATGGGAAAGAAACAAGGAATTTCTAACTAACTCCTGTAGCTCTGGTCTGGCCGGGGCCTGGGAGCAAAGCATTTGCTTAAATGCTTTGGTCTGTTTTAGGAACCAAATAAGATATATTACCTCCGCTCAGAGAACACATTCATCTACCCTTAGAAAAAGTGCTACTCAAGGACCCTAAAGGTCTTTCTATACCCGTTGTGTATGCATTACCCAGAATTCCACCTTTAACTATTTCTCTGTCAAAGTTTCTCATGTCAATAGTCTCAGCAGAAGTGAGGGGCAATGTTTTACGGTCTTTTTGTAGTCTGATGGTCAAGCACTCCAATGCCTCACACAGAACAAAAAATCAGATACCAGGCATCATTACTACAGGGCTCTACAACCACACATTCCAGTTTCTCAGGGCACAAGCAACTTGGGGGAAACTGCTAGAATATAAATTTATTAATGGCACAATTGCAGCCTGGAAGAAATAAGACCATTTAAGGGTCTTATTGTTGAGAAAATGAGCTAAGAGAATGGCTTTGATAAATGTAATAAGATCAAACTTGTCACCAAAATGAATACCAGTTTGTTTATGTCAATTATGTGAAAAGAATTTGATATCAGAGATATCCTGAATGGTAGCCTGAGAAAAGGTGTTGATCTTAAAAGTGAATAACCTCCCATCGCCTCCTCTTTGCCTGTTTCATTTACAAGGATAGCAGTTCTTATTTTTAGGCAAGACCTCCTCTAAAGGCTAATGAAATCTGAATGTCACATGTCCCTCACTCCTGTCAAATCTAGGAGGAGTAAGGGTGACATATCTAAGTCACATACTTTGGTACCCTGTTCTCACACTAGGTTCCTGGCCCTTACCTTTCATTTCGCCTCTGCACAGCCTTCTCATACTTTTTGCGGAGTCGCACCATCTCCTCTTCTATCGTTGTGATCGTATTGGCAAGTCTGTCCATGCTGGTTAGCTGGGTTTCCTTCTTCTCTTTCATTTCTTGAAGTTTTGATAAGATTTTGCACACATCATTTTGCATGCTCTCTCTGATAGTAACGTTGTTGGCATGTTTCAACACAGAATTTTGTAGCTTTCTTTTAAAATAACGGGACAGTGGCTAAGATTATGAGTCTAATGAGGACTTCTGAGACATAAGCATTTCAAAGTAGCTCTTGTTTTCACATGGCTCTTGAAATGACAGTAGTAATAGTAGTGATACTCCGGATACCATTCAGGAGTTTTTGTAATCGTCCCAGGTCTCAGACTCTTCCCTCCATCCAGAATAGGACACCTTTCCTTGGTGCCCAGGGTTGTGCCACTCCTCCCCCCCTTTGTCAAAGCAAGAAACTATAGTCAGTCATCCTTGCTCTGCTGTCCTCCAGAGGCTGCTCTCCTGAGGACAAGGTGGTCCTATCTGAAGGCATCTATTGGACCTGAGCTGGTGCCTGCACTTTAGTGTGGGCCATAATTGGTGCTGAATGAGATCACAGCCTCTGTAAATGATATTTAACTTTCCTGTTGGGTGAGAACCTGATTGGGAAATTATATTTTATTCTTTCTATACCCACCACTCTCCAAATGAAGCCATTTTGTAATGTGTTTATTAAAGGAAACTGGACAATAAAAAGCCAATGGAAAAAGTTCACATTGTGTAGACTCAGGAGATCAGGATCTAACATGAGTAAAAGAGTCCAATGTAGCATATGGCAAACAATAAATCAATAAAACTACCATTTGCCAGACACCCTTCTGTGTGCTATTACACCAATTAGCTCACATAATAATAAAAAGTCCTATGCAATAAAGACTCTTCTAATGGAAAAGGAAAGTGAGTCTAGAGATAAAAGTTAGCTTATTCAAGGTCAGTCAGCTAGTATGTGGCAGAGCTGGGATCTGCATCTAGGAAACCCCCTCTCCTAATTGCTCTCCGGTATTGCCTCCTGTAGGTTCATTAGATGCTTTAAATCTACAACCAGAGGATGCAGACTAATAGACAATTTGGTTGTTTTCTAACAAGTGCAGATTACCAGAGTTGGATTTTTCTAATTGGGCAAATGACAATCATAAAATCATATTAAATACTTATACATTATATTTGTCCAGCAATGGATAAAGAAAATGTGATATACATACATAATAGAGTTTTATTTAGCCATAATGAAGAATGAAATTGTCATTTTCAGGAAAATTAATGGAACTTGAGAATATTATGTTAAGGGAAATAAAGTCAAGGGTTGTATGTTTTGTCTCATGTGGAAGCTAGAGAGGAAAAAAGAAAAGGAAGGTAGTTGGGAAAATTTCATGAAAATTGAAAGGAGAGCAGTATAGTGGAAGGGAAATACTGGGGAAGGATAACGGTCCAGTTACATTGTCATATTGTGTGCATGTATGAACGTGTAACAACAAATCCACCATTATGCACAGCTATGATGCATCCATAAAAAATATGGAAAAAGAAAAAAGTGTGTCTCCCAAACAAGCATAAGCAATTGTGTTCCAAAGCTTAGATTATTATCTAGGAAACAGTATTTAAACAGGGCTTTCCCAGCTCTCTAAACTACTATTTTCGATCTTAAGATTCCCCAGTATGACTTTCAAAGGATTATAGTTATTGTAACTCTTACCTGTCCTGAGTAATGGCACTATTTCTTAAAATTTCCAGTTCATTTAATGACATTTTATGCCTTTCTTTTATTTCATTTACTTTCTGGTGAGCTTTATGAAGTAGGTTAACAAACTTGTTTCTTTCATTTCGAATTGTGTCATACAACTTTGCAAACTCTCTGAGCCTGTGAAAATACAAAGTTTTTTGAACTTTGTAAAATAAAAAAATCAACTTTGCACCACCAAATAGATAACCATGTGATTTTTTTCCTTACCTTCGATAAATTTCACGTTTTTTCTTCCTGTATATTCTGATTTCAAGATCCTTTGCTTTGATTTCTTTAACAATGTTGTTATATTTTTGCTGAAATATAAACCTTATATATGAAATAATATGAATACCCCCAGCTGAACCCCACTTCATTCCCATCGGTGAAGGAATCATTTCTCTTGGCATACTGGGTTATGTAGATCAGTTGGAGGGACTCGGGGCACATCTGAAAATTGCTAGCTGAACTGGTTCAAATGGGCGAGGCCAAAGGGTAACATAAGGACGAGAGATTGTCTATACAGGTTGGGTTTGAGGAACTATTGAGAGAAGAGTAATTGTGGACTGTATCACTGGACAGGGTGAGTGTAAAGTTTCTGGAAGATAGACAAGCAAAGATGATTTATAGGAAGCTGCGAAAATTTTTATGCATGAAACCCTCCAATATTTCATGAGAGGCTGAAACAATGTTTAAAGTGCTTTTCCATAACTCTCAGAATGGAAAAGAAGAAACTAATATTTAGGTAACTGTGTGAATAATTAAATAGGTATAAAAATGTAATTCCATCTACTCTATTTTTTTGGGGGGGGTGATAGATGACACTATATTTCCTCTATACCTTTTATCTTTTTTTAAAAAAAGGAATGTAGATGTTGTATGAAAGGAAAATGATAAGCTCTAATGCCTTCTTATAGAAATGACAGCAAACTATAGCTTTAATGGAGCAATTCCCACTGCTAAGAACACTCAAGGAATAAATATTTTCCCTTTATCAGCTTCCAGATCTCAAAAGGAAGAAATATCTATGTTTCAATATGAATGAGCTCATTTTGATTTTGCTACTCTGCTCCTCCCCTAACACCCTCTCTCCTGTCTGGTTGCCTTTCCTTCCCATTCCTGCAACCATTTTCCCCTTCTTTACTCTGTTGGAATCCACCTGTCCCAGGGACTCTACTGGGATTATTGAAGTCTTCATGATGGAATCAAAATCAAAATGTGGATTGAGTAACCTTCCCTATCTCACCTCTCCTGCTCTCTGGTTTTGCCATTTGATATCCCTTCTCCCATCTTCCCCTGTGTAAACTAAGATGAACTTCTTTCAGTTTCTCAAATGTTAAAATGGAAAAATAGTGAATAGAGGATGTGAAGAGTTTGCTATGATTAGATCTTTCTCTCTGCAAAATCTAATCCCATTGCTACAAATATTCTGGTGTGAGTTTTGTTTTTTTCTGGAAAATGAGAAGAAGTGTTGTCCTATGTAAATACTTATCCAAAATGAGAACAAAGGTTTCACTTGGAAACGGCCAATATATGGCTCATATGATAAATTCAAATACTCTTAGTAATATGTCATATCATATCCCTTAAGGAATTTCTGGGTATAATCTGGATATAATCCTTACATGGAACAAATGATTCTAATGTTAGAATTTTAGCTAGCATGACAGGAAGGTTTTATTTTGGGATATTGCACCAGGCCCTCTCTGGTACTCTGCAGGAGTCTGTGAGAAATCATGGAGTGAGAAGCAATAAGCAAGGGTATCCTGGTACTGGTTTGAATGATGCTTGCTGGATAAACCTGGGGGTGGGGGAATTGTCAAATGCTACTGCTCAAGTTGTTTCTAGGCAAATCACAGTGGGATCAGAAATGGTAGTGGATCCCAGGTTTTATCTGTGGCCCATGCACCTGCCTGCCCTGTCCACTGGAGGGACCCCCCCCCCAAACCCGCCCAGTTATTGTACTGAAATCACCAACTGTTCAAATCCTCTGCTTACTGTGATTCTTTTTTTCTTTTCTGTAGATTGCTGACTATTGCTAATTGAATTCTAGAACTATTTTTCAGTGCATGACCAAGTCTCATTCATGAAAAATTTATAGTTACTGGGATATGAAGGAGATTTCCAGCAATAGATTTCTAATAAACATTGCACCAAAATGAGCCCCCTCAGAATTTTTTGTAGTGATAAGTGCAATTACCTGAGCTTTCAGGAAATCCTTGGACTTTTGGTCCTTTTCATCAATTTTGATTTGTGTCATACGGACAAGGTGGAACAGCAGTTCTCGGAAGTGTTCTTGCTCCTTTAAAAGCTTGTTTTCTTCTATAACTTGCTTTTCTACCAACTTTAACTCAGCTTCTGATAGAACTTTCTTTTGAAAACCACAACATAGTTATAATTTGTTTGAAGGAATATAATGAAGATAGTATCTTGGACTACCTTTGTAATCCTGTGTAGATTTATTAAAATATAAAACAAAGCAACTCCACCATATTTCCCTCTGTTTTTTCAATAAAAGAATGTGCAAACTAGTGAGTTAACACAATGAAATTTTCTTAGCCTGTTGTCAAATGACTATGAGATAAAAAAAAGTTTTCAAATTTGTCAAAAGTAGCTTGAATAAACAAAAATTGAATTTTTAAAAATTTTACTCCCCCCCCCCCCAGTACTAGGGATTGAACCTAGTGCTTTGCATGTGCTAGGCAAGTACTCTATCATCGAGTTATATCTCCAGCCTTTTAAATTTTGTTATGTTGTGGTGTTGGTGCTGGGGATTCTACTCAGGGCCTCATGTATGTTAAGTAAGAGCTCTACTACTGAGCCATATCCCCAGTCCTTTATTTTATCTTAAGACCATCTCATAAATTTGCCCAGGCTGGCCCAGAATACATGTGTGCCACTGCACATGTTACTGTTTATTTTTAAAGTAGTCAATAGTCCTTTTATTTTTAAAGTCTCATTGATTTGTATACATTTTACCAGATCAAACACATCCTTTCCCCCCTGCCCCAAACTTAGTGTGGGGTTGGCGTGAACTTTGAGATGTAGGCTTAGTAGTCAAGCACTTGTCTAATGTGTGTGAGGCTCTGGGTATAATCTCCAGCACTGAGAAAAACTTTATAGAGAAGGAAATACAGCCACATTAAACAGAATGATATTTGCTTGATGACTTTTACTGATGAGATTTCATGGAGCACAATTAAAAATACCACAATAAGCTGGATCAGGAGCACACACTAGTAATCCCAGCCATGTGGGAGGTTGAGGCAGCGGGATCACAAGTTCAAAGCCAGCCTGGGCAATACAGTGAAATCCTATCTTAAAAAAATAAAATCATGCTCTTGGATAGGCAGAATTAATATTATCAAAATGATCATACTTCCAAAAGCACTATAGAAATTTAATGCAATTCTGATCAAAATTCCAATGACATTCCTCATAGAAATAGAAAAAGCAATCATGAAATTCATCTGGAAAAATAAGAGACTCAGAATAGTTAAAGCAATCCCTAGCACGAAGAGTGAAGCAGGAGGCATCACTATACCAGACTTTAAACTATACTACAGAGCAATAGTAACAAAAACAGCTTGGTATTGGCACCAAAACAGACTGGTAGACCAATGGTACAGAATAGAGGACAAAGAGACTAACCCACAAAACTACAATTATGTTATAATTAGACAAAGGTGCCAAGACCATGCATTGGAGAAAATATAGCCTTTTTAACAAATGGTGCTGGGAAAACTGGAAATCCATATGCAACAAAATGAGATTAAACCCCTATTTCTCACCATGCACAAAACTCAACTCAAAATGGATCAAGGACTTAGGAATACAACCAGAAACCCTGCATATAATAGAAGAAAACGTAGGCCCTAATCTTCATCATGTGGGATTAGACCCCAACTTCTTGTGACTCTGTGTCACAAGAATTAAAATCAAGAATCAATAAATGGGATGGACTCAAACTAAAATGTTTATTCTTAGCAAAAGAAACAACCTGTGAGGTGAATAGAGAGCCTACATCTTTGGGAGCAAATCTTTACCCCTCACACATCAGATAGAGCACTAATCTCTAGGGTATATAAAGAACTCAAAAAACTAGACACCAAAAACAAACAAACAAACAAACAAAAAAAAAACAAATCACCCAATCAATAAATGAGCCAAGGACCTGAAGAGACACTTCTCAGAAGATGATGTACAATGAATCAACAAACACATGAACAAATGTTCATCATCACTAGCAATTAGAGAAATGCAAATCAAAAACATTCTAAGATTTCATCTCACTCCAGTCAGAATGGCAGCTATTATGCATACAAACAACAGTAAGTGTTGGCGAGGATGTGGGGAAAAAGGTACACTCATACCCTGCTGGTGGGACTGCAAATTGGTGCAGCCAATATGGAAATCAGTATGGAGATTTCTTGGAAAATTGGGAATGGAACCACCATTTGGCCCAGCTGTCCCTCTCCTCGGTCTATACCCAAAGGACTTAAAAACAGCATACTACAGGGACACAGCCACATCAATGTTTATAGCAGCACAATTCACAATAGCTAAACTGTGGAACCAATCTAGATGCCCTTCAATAGATGAATGGATAAAAAAGTGTGGCATATATACACAATGGAATATTACTCAGCAATAAAAGAGAATAAAATCATGGCATTTGTAGGTAAATGGATGGAGTTAAAGAAGATAATACTAAGTGAAGTTAGCCAATCCCAAAATATCAAATGCTGAATTTTATTTTTCTTTGATATAAGGAAGCTGATTCATAGTGGGATAGGGAGGGGGAGCATGGGAGGAATCGATGAACTCTAGATAGGGCAGAGGTGTGGGAGGGGAAGAGAGGGGGCATGGGGTAATTAATGATGGTTGAATGTGATGATCATTATTATTATTATTTTTTTTTTTGGTGGTGCTAGGGACTGAACCAAGGGCCTTGTGAATGCTAGGTAGGCACTCTACCAACTGAGCTATATCCCCAGCCCTGATGATCATTATTATCCAATGTACACGTATGAGGACATGAATTGTTGTGAGTATACTATGTATACAACCAGAGATATGAAAAATTGAGCTCTATATATGTAATAAGAGTTGTAATGCATTCCGCTGTTATGTATAAATTTTAAAAAATAAAAAAGAGAATCATTATGACAACCATATTACCATTCTGAGATAGAAACTTAAATGAGAATATTAACCTGTTGGACCAAATTCCTCTTAGCTACTTCAACTTCCCTGTGGAGTTCTTTCCTTCTCTCAGGTAATACAGAATCATCTTTAGGGATTGCTTCAATCTGGAAATCAAAATTTAAAACAGGTATTTATAGAAAAAAGCAATCTTTGATGTCATGTAATCAAACCCATTACATACTTTCTGAAAAAGGCAGGCAAATCATGTTCTCCTCTTATAGGAACTGCTTATTATGCTGAACACTTTCTATAAAGTCATAGCAAACTATAACCCTGAAGAAATGTCAAGCACTCATTATTCACCAGCTGCAAATATTTTATTTATTCATTTACAAATAAATCTTACTAATATCTATTATTATTTTTATTGAGCATTGACTAGGTGCTTGGAAAACTCTAAGGGCTTATATGTATGTTCTTATTTAATCCTTACAATAACCTTATGAGGTAGATAATACTATTTATCTCCAATTGAACAGATGAGGAAAATGAGGCACAAACACATTTAGGTCATTTGCCTTAATGGTACAGGTGCAAACCCAGGCAGTGAATCTTGAGCTGTGATCTTAATACAACATCATATTACCTCTCTAACTCATGCTTCAGCACTTTGAAAACATGCATATACTATGACTATTCGAAAGTGATATTATAAAATGTGAGTTCATTTATGTAATTTTATAGGTTAAAGAAAAATGTAAACTATTTATTACTAATAGTGGGAATAGTTTGATACTTTCAGATAGGAGTGAAGGCAAGCCTTTGTCCCAGGGTAGCAGAGCTATAGACTGGGTGAACTTATGTACAGGTAATGAGCACAGACAGCAGTCTCGCAGATCCCATCATGCTGGCACGGGCGTGAGGCACAAAGAGCCCCGAGATAGCCCAACCTGGCCTGGTGCAGATGCCCACTCCACACAGCACCACAGCCCAGAACCCTGACCATCCACCATCTGACAACCTCAACCTCCTGCTTCCCAACAATCCATGGGAAAAGGGAAGTGAGGCAGACCTGAAAGGGACCGCAGGACTAACCAATGGCACTGGTAGTTTTCCAAATCCTGATTGGCATAAATTTGGACCAATAGTGTTGATTCAAGTGCTATAGAAACCCCTAGACTAGCATACCCAAGTGGCAACCTGCTATCAGGTCCCCTCTTGCCCCTGTGAGAGTTTCACACTTGAATAAATCCTATTCCTTTCACTATTGCCTTCTGTTGTCCCGTGAACTTTATTCTTTGGATTTGGAAGACAAGAACCTGAAAAGAAGTTGGCAGTGAGCTGCTGGGGTCTGTTGCAACACTGGAGGACACAGCTTGCCACTCAGAGTTGCAACACATCATTCCATAGTAGTGAAGAATCAGGCTTTGCTGGCTGCGACTTGGAGCTAATGTCCATAGGTATCCTCTGCTGTGATTAGCTGCTAACACTAAAACAGGCTTTCTTGGCTGCAGAGGCCTGCAGGATACACAGACCCAACCACCAACAGAAGTGGAGAATCTTTTCAATAGTTTGATGAGATGACAAAGTTCTTACACAAAAGAAAAGCCTCTTTTTTTGTTGATACCTAAATTTTGTTTGTTTTTCCCCCTGTGTTTAAGTTCTTTGGGAAGAGAGCAAAAGCTCAGTCTATGAATTTTTGTTGCCCTATTTGAAATGATCTTGACAGATTCTTTATGAGGAGAAGGACACATGGCAACTGATAAGGGAAGGGGTGCCATCTGAGGCCACAGGAAGGGACACCTTGGGGTGTGTATGGCCTACTTGATTTTGGACCATTATAACAGAAGCATATGAGACTAATCTGATGTGGCTCATTCTTCCTGTGACAGCATATACTTCCAGGCACCAAGGTTGAATAGTGGCTAAAACTTGTTCCAAGAGGGGAATATCATACTATTTAGTGATTTTAAAGTCACCTAACAAGATCTTTCTGAGAGTCAAGCTACTGTTTTAGAGTAGCTGAAGTGTCACTGGGCATGATGGTGCATGTCTGTAATCCCAGGAGCTCAGGAGGCTGAGGCAGGAGGATCGTGAGTTCAAAGCCAGCCTCAGCAACTTAACAAAGCTCTAAGCAACTTAGAGAGACCCTATCTCAAAATAAAAAAATAAAAAGGGGCTGGGAATGTGGCTCAGTGGTTAAGCACCCCTGGGTTCAATCCAAAAAAAAAAAAAAAAAGTAGTTGAAGTGTCTTTGGACACTTCATAAACCTGTGTATCTGCAGGAACATCTTTTTAGCTTTGTGTGGCCAGTGATGTCCTGCTTCCCATGCCTACATGGAAAGCTAGTTGTCAAAGAACACATACTTGTCTTAGGGAGATGAATCAGGGTCTTATGAGATCCATGTAACAATATACAGACTCTTGTGGTCTTAATGAACAGATAATTGCTATAGGAGATCAGCAAAGGGAGAGATCAAGTCTATAGGAGAGACTTGATGGAACAGGTAAGAAGTCAGTGAGAAAGAGCTTGATTTTCCCCACTGGAAACTGGAGCTAAGCCTTTCTGGGCAGAGGAAGTCCAGGAAGCATCCTGGGTTCCAACTCATTCTCTGCTACCAGTGGACTAGGAATGGGCTGCTTCCCATGCTCTGTTCCCAGGGGTAAGCAAATCGGCACATAAATACTGTCTGGGACCAGGAAATTTTATAAACTTGTGACAAAAAAATATGAGAGCATACCCACCAGCTACTATGTCAACCAAAGGTTCCCAACAGATTTTCCATCCATAACTTCATAAAAGAAATTAGACATTATTCTGTTGCTGTAAACATCCTGATTATTTGATATCAGGAAACCTCAGTGTTAAGGGTAATGCTTTGATATTTTTCAAAAACATTCCAAATATCCATGGGGTTTGTATCTTGAGTTTCTGGAAAAATCTCTAAAGAGTCAAAAACCATAGGAGAATCAAACTGTCTCTGGGGAAAATAAATTCTGAAGACTAGCCAGAACCATCTGCACACTCACTTTTTAATCTTTTCCCTTCTTGGATTGCATGCAAGTATGAAGTTTTCAGGGAGCGACTGGCCTGACTCCTATTTTCAAGTACTGCCAGCTGTGGGTAGTGGCCAAGCTAATTAAAAGTCATATGTCAAAGAGGAAGTATCTTACTGAAACTGTTCTAGGACAATAACTGAGCTTTTTCTTTAAATCAGTGAAGGAGAGTATCTTAATATATTTAATTTCTTTTAGTTTTATATTCATGGGTGCTATTTTATGAACTTGGTGGCTGGTAGTCATAGTATAAATAGTTTTTATTTGTTAATATTTGGAGAATGTGAGCATTCCACTGCAAACTACTCTTTAGTCAGGAGCCATTCCTGTGCACTCTGTGTCTAGCTAGATGGATCTATAAGTCTTACCATTGGAGTCAGAGCCTAGTTAGATTTCTAGTGTCCCATGCTTAAATATAATTAGGTAGCCAAGGATCACCATCCATTGGAGGAAAGTTCTTAATAAGAAAGAGATCAAAATAATCAAACCAAAACAACAAAATCCAGGAAAAAGTAATTTAAAGAAAATAAACTTCCTGTAGGAAGAAGTAGAAATCATGACTAGTATGTTCAGTGAGATAAGAGAAGATATTAAATACGAATAAGAATACTATAAAAAAAGAAAAATTCAGAGAGAAAAAAAAAGAGCCTATGGAAATACAAAATATAAGAGCCAGATGAAAAAGTAAATGGTTAGAAGAAAACATTGAAGAAAGCCCCCTCATAGCAGATCAAAAAGACAAAACGGAGGGGGCAAAAGTAAAGAAATAGTTCTAAGTCTCAGAACTGAATGACATGTTTCCACACACAAAAAACAACCAAGTACCCAGAGAAACAAATAAAAATAGAAGCCACCAGGCACGGAGGCACATGCCTATAATCCTGGTATCTCAGGAGGCTGAGGCAGGAGATTACAAGTTCGAAGCCAGCCTCAGCAAAAGCAAGGCACTAAGCAACCAAGTGAGAGCCTGTCTCTAAATAAAATAACAAAATAGGGCTGGGGATGTGGCTCAGTGGTCGAGTGCCCCGGGGTTCAATTCCCAGCAACCCCCACCCCCGCAAAAAAAAAAAAAAAAGCAGCCCACATGGGGGAATAGCCCTATGAGATTTTAAAAATTCTGGTGGCAAGTTAAGATCCAAAAAGCTTCCAGCATGGAATAAAGTCTTCATAAAGATCCAGAATCAGAATGATACCAGGTTTTCTTAACTGTGACTTCAGAAGCTATAATTGATCAATGCCTTTGTGCTGATGGAAAATTATTTCCAACCTAAAATTCTATATCCAGTTAAACTATTAATTATATGTACAGCTAGTGTGAAAGAAAAATATTTTATATCATGCATTTTCTGACATGAAAAGTCTTTAAAAACTCCTTCCAGTCTCATTTTCTCAGTAAGCTGCTGGGAGCATGTATCCTCCCAAAAAAGGTAGTGAAAAAGAAATAGACCTGTGGAATAAGGAATCGCAGAAGGGAGATAGAGCATATCACCAAGACGGTAGAGAAGGCTCCCCAAATGAGCATGGTGGTAGGCACACAGAGAAATGAGTTAGTAACAGGTCAGAGGGCTGAGAAAGAGATTAGCAGCCCTGATATCCAGGAGCTGGCTGCGCACTCACAGCTAAGCCCTGGTGTTCTGTTGATCCTAAACAATTTCACAGAACATCAACTTCAGACAAAGCCACTGTGTGATTATGATGGAGCAAGACAAAAACAAGACCATTTCATAATTGTTTTTGAATACAGACAAAAACATGAATGTTGTCCAAGCCACAAAACAGCATACATCCCCCACTTACAGTCTTTACCAATTACAGCTTTCCTCCATCTAGTCTTTTCTCTAAGATTTGTTAAGATACTCAACCATAAAATTACTCTCATCTCCTGACAACATCCAAATTCAAAGCTAAGTCTCATTCCTTACACCATTTCCCACATCACATGACACAAGTCCAAGTGTGGCTAATACCCTCTACTCCTTTCTAATTCCCTCTGCTGAGACCTCCTACAATTCCCTGTGGTATGTGTTCTCCCTTGCTGCAATGAGTGATTAAACAACCCATTCGATTATAAAAGCATTCCTGTTGTCTTTTGCTAGAGGCCACTGACAAGGCTCAGGAATGATTTCTTCAAGAAAATTAAATGCGTGGACTATCAAATGTGTTTTAACACACTGAGAGGAAATTCATGCAACTGGAGAGAAGGGGCTTGGGACTGAACTAATAAATACACAGGAAAATATACAAAAGAAAAAACAGGATGATTATAAATTCCTGAGAGTGTAAAGTTTTATTAAAAAAAGGGCAATTATATAATATAACATGGCTCAGGTATGCATAGGCTTCACATGTTCATAACAATGTAAACATTAAATTCTGAACTAACTGAAATTATGACTTGAGCATACTGGGATCATGGAGTGACAAGAAATGTGTACATGGAGAACAGGGATCTGAAAGAGAGCCATATCCTTCTCTTTTACAGTGAAATGTACAAAGATCAGTTTTAAAACTGAAAACTCAAGTAATAGTATTATAAGCATGTCACATAGGAAATGAAGAGATAGCAAAAGAACCAACTGAAGGAATAGCACTTAATTTGAAGGGAACTTGATGAGGAGTAGGAAATACACGGAAAATCTTTCTTTCCATGCCTGGAACAGACATCTCTAATTGACTACAGAGGTCCTTTCTGACAAGGCAGTGCTGGGCCTCAGAATCCTTGGCAACATGGTCACTATGAGGAGCTGGCACCAAATGAATGGCGCTGATTCTTGGAGTGATACTTGTTTGCCTTGATTGGACCATATGATCTTTATGATTCCTCCCAATTCTTTCTATGACTATGTGAAAAAAGGACCTATTGAATGTCTTGCATAGGTGAGTGATATTCATCAACATTATTTTAGTAGAAAAATGGAGTATAGATTGGACATGGAAGGAATAGGACCTACAGAAAATAGCCAGTGGGCAATTGTAGTCATTCAGGTAGTGAGAGTGGGTCCTGAGAAACATTTTGAGGTTCATCAATATGGCCTGATGATGTAGTCTTCTCCACTGTAATAAAACAGCCACATTCATAATCTTATCCTAACTATAAAAATTTCTTTAGCCTTTAAAAAAGTTTAAATAAAGGAAAACAATGTTGGAATCCGGATTGCCTTGGCTAGTTGGAGGTACAGACCAACTGACCACATTTACATGATTTGATATATATACATGATTTGATCTGGTCCTTAATGGACATAGTCTGCCATGGTGCCATTCTGAATCTCTCAACTTATAAAGACAGTGATGCACTCAGCCCTACCCTGAAGTGAAACCTCTAGTCTTCTAAAACTAAATGGCTAAATTAATTCCCTAGCCAGGCTGATATCTGATCCAAATAAGACATTTCTCTGGTCTTGGGCAAGAAAAAGAGATTGAAAAACATAGGGCAAAAAACTCTATACTAGGTCTGATGCATTTGAAAACTGTTTTTTCCCTGTTACTTTTCTTCTTCTTTCTCTATAGTTAGCAAAACAATTTCCCCAAATATTTTTACTTTAAAAGATGGCACTCAGTTTAAAAACCAGACAGAAGTTTGCAGCACTCACCTCTAATTGAAGCCTTTTATACATGGCTTGAGTTTGAGTAAGTGAATCTGAGGACACTTTCAAGAGCATCTCCATCTTTTTTAAATTTCGAATATCTCGCTCCTTCTCTCTTTGCTTGTGAGAAAACTCATCATGGTAGTTCTGCTTGTCGATGACATTGTTTCGTATATTGAGATCTAAGATCCCTCTGTCCAGGTACAGGGAGAAAATGAGAATGATCTGTTATCAGCTGTCTTACACATTTTTCAAAATATATCAAGACAGTATCTCAGTATATATGTACAAAACTATTCTCATGTTAGAATCACAAATTATAAATAATGCTCAAAGTTACCAGGTTTGTGAACTTGTATCATTTTGAATTAAAGTTTTATAAAACTCCCAAATGTAATAACAGAGTATCAGAGAGAGAAGCCCCTACTTTCTCTAAAATTTTATCTAAAAATGGTAAGTTGGGGCTGGGGATGTAGCTTAGTGGTAGAGTACTTGTCTAGCATGCATGAGGTTCTGGCTTCAATCACCAGCACTGGAAAAAAAAATAGGAAATAAAATTCTTCTAAAGAATCACACCATGAATTTGTCTCTATTAGGAAAAACAAATCAGGATTACTTCAAAAACATCATTTATTGGTTGGTAAAATCTCTGAACTGTAGAGCACACACCAGTGATATAATTGTCTGGAAGTACATTTCAGAAACTTCAATGGATTTTGTCCTTAAAATTTGGTCACAGAGAATTGAGGAAAAGTATGAGTAAAAGATGGAAAAGGTACTTCAAAACGCTTTATTGATAATAAATTTATATTTTAGTTTATTTCAGTCCTGGGGATTTAACCCAGGGCCTTGTTCATGCTTGGTAAGCACTCTCCCACTGAGCTACATCCACTGTCCAATAACATTTTTAATTAATAGTAAAAACTGATTAAAAATTCTTTTAATGCCTGTAATCTCAACTACTCTGGAGCCTGAGCCAGGAGGATGACAAGTTTGAGACCAGCCCCAATAACTTCGCAATGTCCTAAATAATTTAAAAAGAGCTTGTCTTAAAATAAAAAATAAAAGGACTTGGGGTGTAGCTTAGTGGCAGAGTGCCCCTGATTCAATCCCAGTACCACACACAAATAAAAAGAAAAAAAGAGTAAAAACGCTTACTTAATCAACATAAAACCATTTGAGAGTATGTTCTGAATCGATGCTTATATGTTGAAGAAAAAATTTAGATGACAACACACATAAATATAACTAACTTTTCACTTAGCGAAGTGGCTTCATTCTCTCTGGCTAATTCCAATAGCTTGACTAGTTGGTTATATTCTCGTTCTTTGACTTCAAGCAAGGTTCTTTTGCCTTCAACTTCCTTCATTACATCCTCCTTCTCTTCTACTACAGCACTAATTTTGTTTTCAATTTTCTTTAGGGAGTCGTTTAGCTCTCTGACTTCAAGTTCCAAGATAATATTTATCTTTTCCATTTCTCTGTAAGTGACACACACAAGAGTACCTTATTTCAAGCCCATGCTCAAAACCTGTCAAAAGAGTTAGTCATTAATTCAGTGATGTCAGAGGTGTGTCCAAGTGCTACCGAAGGCAGAATATGCCAGGCTTCCCTACTTCCTCCCAGATCCCAGATCCTGTTGTCTCCTCTACTTCTACCCACATCCTAACTAGCTTCCTGGGACTGACCTGAATTTCTCAACTTTGGTGCTGGTGAGCTTGGTTTTTGGAACCATTACTATTTCATTTCCCCCTCCTCTTTTAAGATCAGTCAGCAGATTTATCATATTATTTCTCCATAATAATCTTTATTCTTTTTGGTTCTTTGAAACCCTGAGAATTTCTTCAACGACCTCTGAATCCAAATCTGTTCTGAATGTCTGAGGGTATCATATCCTCATGAAGTGAAGAGTTACCATCATTTGGGCTGCTGGCTGGATAACATAATTCTAAACCATGAAATTCTAACCAGCTTAAATAATGTATCCCTACCTCTGTTAAAGTCAATTGAAGTTCTCCATAAAAACTATTTATAAATTGGAAACAGAATCTTGACCCATAAATAAATAAGAATGATAGCAATTTGCTGTACAACTTTCTTTTAAAGAACTTGATATATACAGCCGAGACAGGGCCAAAAGCAGATATTTCTAAATGATGATACTAATTTGATGTGTCCAGTGATTAGTTGTCTTGATTTAGTGTGCTCACATTACTTGGGGGATGTTAGGCTGGGAAAGATTCAAAATAAAAGCATTAATCTTACACTTTTCTGCGTGCCATTTTTTCAATCTCTTTTACAATCTGTACAGGAACAGTTTGATGGTAGACCATTTCATCCTAGTAAAGAAATTCAATTATGTTATATCATGTAGTCTTGGACCAGAAACAATCAAGACAAGCAAGTGAGATAGAAAAAGGAACTATAATATGTAGAATTCTTGCTATCACACTGATCTTATAAGATAGTATTTGTTACTGTCTTAAAGAGGGTGTCAATGAATGTGACAAAGACTTTTGGAGCTCTGCTCAGATTCCCTTTATGGAGGTGCTCTTCCCACACATGCTGCAGTGGACACCTGCCAATAGCTCATGTTAATCTCTCCATTGTATTGCCATTGGCTGAGCAGGGTATGGGGGGTGGTAAGGTGGAGATGGGGACAGGCTGTGACCAATGACTTAAGTGTCAGTAAAACAGCCCATACCCCTTGCCCGTGGGCAATAAGTGGCTGCCATACAATTCAAGATGTAGGGAACTCCATGGGGTCAAGTTAAGACAAGAGTTCTTTTACTGTAGAAACCATATTTTGACCCTGTATCTTCCCCAGCTCTATCCTGCTCCTGTGGGATCCTTCTGAGAGCTCTCCCTCAATTATTAAATATCTTAGGGACTGCTTTTATGGAACCCTGCCTAAGATTCATGCTAGAAGTTAAACCATTTTCCCCCACAGTCTAAATAGAGAATAAATGGCAAGAAGTTAAATTTAAGATCAGAAGTTAAGTTTATCTAATACCACTTTCCATTATGGTCTGTGGATTCATGGAAATTTCAGGCCCAAGAGTCACATGTACATGACAGGGGTTACATTAGGGCCCTTTCCTGCCTGAGGATCACACTGGACTTTGGGACCTGCAGTCACACATAGGCATGGAGGTTGAACACATCACTGTGGCAGAACATCTTTCAGTGGAACCTTGCTCAATTCTGGGGCAAGTCCACGTTTTGTGAGACTGAAACTTATACTTGGGAGACCCTCTTCAAATAAAAGAGTAAAAACTTGCAAATAGTAAATTAGGTTCAGGCCCCTTGGAAGAGGTTCATATAAGTGAGGGGCCTGAAGCTTATGCTTCACTGGGTTCCTGATAAATCCATCTCTGCTTAGTTTCTCTATTCCAGGCAACAGCTGGGCACATGTTGACCAATCGCTCTTAGACTCAAGGAAAAAGAGGTCAAAATACACCAGAATTGTCCTCTAAGTCAATGGGTCTCAGATGGTTATAAAAATAACTCTAAAAATAGTTATTTTTAAAGCAACTCTAGGTTATATTTATTTTTTTGAAACTTACTATCATACATTTTTCTTAAAATGTGAATTTTAGTTAATTATCTCCTAAAATATAAATACAGGCCCCTTATCATTTTTATGGTAAGAGGACAAGAAGTGGATTAAATAGACAAGGATAAGATAACACAAATACACACAAGAGGTTAGACATTTGGTTGCTCTTCAGGGAAGCAAAAGTGTGACACTTTTTTTTTAACATTGAAAAATATTTGATGATGTCTAAAGAGGCCTGTCTCCCAGAGCCAGGGCTTTAAATTAAAACAATAGTATCTATCAAACACTCCAGAGTATTTTTGTGAATTCTCAGAGCTTAGGTTTAGTTTGATAGGATCCTCCAAAACACACATTTGTGAGACAGTATCCCTTTTTGTCAAACCTATGTAGTTAACCTTATACAAAGGTATTTTTACATCCTTGCAGGTACAGTGTTCAAATATTCCTAAACTATAAGCACCATACCTTTAGGACAACCTGGTGTTCCAGCAATTCTTCTAGTTCCTTCTGTTCCTTTACTAATTGCTTTTGCTTAAATGTCAAATCTTCCCGCAAATTTTTAATTTCTAATTTTTTCTGCATTATTTCTTTACGTAATTCTTCAGTGCTGTCTCTGAGTATTCTCATCTTCTTCTCCATTTCCTTTAAAAAGTCATGAAAATTATCAGGTTATATAGTCTGAGCAAACATTTATCTATGTAAAAATGGAATGAAACAGAATTTTATCTTTTTGATTATATTTATTTTGAAGTGCATGAATGTTTTCTTACAGAGTTAAATGTAACTTATGTTTTCTGAAGACAAGACTTATGCTTGTCTTCAACAAGGACATGACAATTATACTGCATGCTTAATTAAACATTTTATTTGAATTTTTTAAACTAATGCTTCAGTTTTTAAATGTTTCCCTTTTCTGAGTCAATTTTTATTTCATACCAAAAAACATTAATGACAATGTCCATTATGTTTTCTAGTAGCTTTGGGATTTGACAAAATCAGCTGCAAATAATCTTTGACTATCTGGCTTATGGTTAACTGGAGTCACACATGGGAACTGAAGATGAAAGGGTTCATATTTGAGGTGTCCAACTCGTTCCATTTCTTAACTGTCCCACTTTCTCATTACTATTATTTCTTTAGCTTCTATGTTTTCCCCAAATGTCCTCTACCCCAGACTCAGAATAGATTGCATTTCCCATGGCTTATTATCCAGATAATGCTTGACTTATGAGAAAAAAAGCCTTCTTATACTCAGAAATGATACATGATACTAATGTCTAAGTAGATGGGTCTGTTTAACCTGCTCTGGGATTTCTGAGTAGGTCCCTCCTTCCACTGCTGCCAGGAAAGAGTAAAATTAGTAATCTACAACCTGAAACTAAAATTCAAAATGCTTTTTCTTATAAAATCTGTGTTGCAAACAGTGGTTAGATGTATTTATGTACAATTAATAGTATTTTACTAAATGCTAAATAGGTTTTTGTGGGCTAGCCATGGAATTAAATCATCAACATAATTTTAAAATATAACCATTCAGAAAGCAAATGCAATATTTGATGCATGATGATCTTTCTACTTATTATCTAAGGTAGAAAAAATGGTCACAAATTCCTCATATTCCTCAGGGTGTGCATGCCTCTCTGTAATATATATTTGCTATTCTTCTATTAAAAGGAAAGGCCTATTGTTCTATATCTTGATTCCAGAATTGGCCATGTGAATTGCTTTGACTACTGAGGTATTACACAAAATGGTTTAAACAGAGGCTCAAAATGTTCTTGCATGTTGGAATTTGCCCTCTCCTGAGGCTGGAAACTCTTCTACTATCATGGGATCAACTAGTGACTATGACCTTAGACCAACTAGCCTGGTGCAGGGTTGACATACACAAGCCCCAAATGAGCCAGCGCAGACCTGAAGAATTCAGAACTGTAGAAAGTAAGGAATTATTGTTGTTTTAAGCCACTAAGCTTGGGGATGGTCTGCTATGCAGGAATAGATAAGTAATACATCTTCTTTATTAAAAAATGTTATTGTAATAACTTGAGGAGTTAAGAAAGCTAGGTAGGGTATGAGCTATAGCAAAAATAATATTTTTAAGTGCTCAACATAAAACCTTCCTTTTTTTTTGGAAACAAAAACAAAGCAGATATTGTTGAACTAAATGATTAGATGCAAAATAGCTAAAGCCTATGATAGACACCACTCATATTTACAGTTTCATAGATACTGTCTTCCACACCTTCAATAGTCATGACTTTTCAGTCTTCAAATGTTTCAGGGTATGTTTATTGTGATGAAGATTCTTATAAAAGGATGTTTGAATCTAGCTGCATTTGACAAACTCTAAATCATCTATACTTACTCCTGGCTTAGGTATCTTCTCAAATTCCTTTAACATGAGGTCCTTTTCTTCTCTTAAACTGTAAAGAAAAAAGAAATCAAGTTAGAGAACATACAAAAGAGCAAGCTCTTTCTGTGTTTATAACATTCTATTTTCTCTTCTCATAGTCTGTTCCCAAGTTTATCTGCAAGCACCCTGATGTCCATTCTTTATGATGGGCTTGCCAACTCTCCTGGGCCCATTTGAGGCACTTCCTTCTCCTCAGCACCCCTACAACACTGAGTACACACACCCAGCGGAGAAGTCCTCTTAGCATGTTATAACTATTAGGGAGCACAGCCTTCCCTCTAGACTCAGGCTCCTTCCAGGCAGGCTCTGGGCCTTCTTTATACTACTTGCAATGGAGGACTAGTGCCTACCTGGGTTACTGACACAGCCTCCTAACTGGCCCTCCTTGCCTGCCTCCAACCTTGCTCATGAAAGTGAATTACCACCCAGCACCATAGGGAAGCCCAGTTGGCCCTGCATACATTGTCTCTCCAGTCTTACTGCCTGCTACCCTCTAGCTCTGGTCACACTGGCCTTCTTGCCAAACTTGTTCCTACCCCAAGACTTTTGCCTTTTCTGATCCTTGCAATTGGCTTGCTCTTTCCACAGATCTCTGTACAGGCCACTCTTCACTTCATGTAGAGCTTTACCTGGCGTCACCTTCTTGCAGAGGCACTGGATCATCCTATCTAAAACAGCATTCTACATCACTCTTTCCTTGTCCTGCTATAATTTCTATATACTATCCATCACAACCTGAAACTACATTATGTATTTGTCAGTTTGGCCAGCAGAAAACCTAGCTCCATGAGAGCAGGGACTTTGTCCTGTTTACCACTGTATTGCCATGATTCAAAAAGCATTTGCATGGGGCTCTGGTTGTGGCTCAGTGGTAGAGCGCTCACCTAGCACATGTGAGGCACTGGGTTCGATCCTCAGCACCACATAAAAATAAATAAATAAAATAAAGGTATTGTGTCCATCTACAACTAAAAAAATTTTTTTAAAAAAGCATTTGCATGTAGTTGGCACACAATAAATATTCACATGAATCCATAGAATGACTGAAGTTAGTTTTATTCCTTGTTTTATTATTTGAAATAGCATAATTTATATGCTAAATGAGAAGCCTATGCATATGGAAATATAACTTCCTCAGAATGGCCTATTGCATCACATTGTTCTATATCCAGATTGGAGAAAAAAACTGGTGTAAGTCATGGAAGGGAAGACTACACAGTTGTTTTCAGAGATGTGAAGAAGGGTTATTTCAAGAACTCACTTTAGTTTTATGTGATGACTGAATTCCTGAGGGATAATATTAGAGGGGAACATAGTTGCAGATGTGGTTGGGTGGTGGATATCCAAGGGATTCAATGGATGTTTCAGGTGAAGGACAGATAGGCCAGGAGGCAAGTGTAAAGGAGTATTACATGTGGAAACTTGAGAACAATCCTCTTTTATTTCCCTTCCAAACTATTAGGAACTCCAATATGAATTCACAGGAAGACCCTGTGTGCATACCTTATACTTTTATCTCATGGGTGTTTGGTTCATAAGAATCTGCCTTCGACCCCTGTGACAAACACATTGCCATGAATTCGTTATGCCATTTTCCCTCCCCGGATACACAAGAAGTCTACATTGTATAGCCTTCCTTGCATTTGGATGGCGACTAATTCTTGGCAATGAATGGGAGTAAAGACCATTCGTCTTCCCAGCCACACTGAACTGGGAAGGCCAGGGATCCAGTTGCCAAAGCTAAAAGATGGAGGGGATGTGACTTGCACTGGACTGCTGGGAGCTAGAAACAGAGTTTAGTGATTCCACTGACATTTGAAAATGTGTTACTACTAAACAGCCCAGCTGAAGTCTGACTTCTTATCCCCTCAAATTACAACTCATTATCTTCCCCCCTGAGATCTGTTTTTCTATTCTTCCTCTCAGTCCATGGCACTTGGGTCACTTTTCAAAATTATGAGTGTGAATCATTCTTGAAGCTTCTCCACGCCTTGCTCCTGTCAAGTTTTTTTTTTTTTTTTTTTTTTTTTGTCTTTAGCTTTCAGAAGTTGTATTAAGATGCATTTGGAAAGTATTTCTTAAGGCTTACTCTGATTGGGTTCATCAAGCTCCGCAAATCTGTGGGTTTATGTCATCAAATTTGGGAAGTTTTCAATGGTTATTGCTTCAAATATTTATTCATCACTTCATACTTTTTTTCTCTGCAACTGTGATAACATGAGATTTTTTTGGTATTGTCTCATGCATGCCTAATGCTGTTCATTTTTATTCAATCTCTTTTCTCTGTGTTGCTTAGAATGGATAATTTCTATTTATTTACCAAAGTTAAATAACTTCTATCATCTCCAATCTTCTATTCAGCCCATCAATTAAGTTAAATTTTTAGTTACTGTACCTTTTAGCTCTAAAATTTCCAAGGAAATGTTCTTTATATGTTTTTGCTGGGAGCCATTAGCCAAGTAGGTATGACAATTTCCTTGCCAGTGTACCCCATGTTGCTTAGTGGAAGGACTCCTGGAAATAGGACATTTTGCAGTGACATTGCATCTAAGGTGACCTTGCTCAAGGACCAGGGCGGATCCGGGTTTAGGGTGTTCCTGGTTTAGGATAATCCGGGTTTAGGGCGTTCCAGGTTTAAGGTTATTCCTGCTGGGAATAGGGCGTATCCTGCTGCCTGAGTTCCCCTTGAGTTCTCACGGGATTCAGAGAGTATTTTTTGGGAGACAGAAGCCCAGTGGGTGTGGATTTGGGCAGAGAACATGGATTTCCCCAGAACGTGATTGTAGACGGCTGGTGTGAGTTCGGGAATAAAGAGTTGCTGTTTGAATCTACAAGCTGTGTGGTGGCTCGTGATTTTGTGCCCAGCCAGACTGCGGCATGTTTTGTTTTCTGAGACTGTTTTTTCCACTGTTACAAAGTTGTTTGGAATTGTTTGTGGATGATATAAGCACCATAAATATTATAGGATTATTGACTGTTTATTATATTAATTAGTGTGTGTGTTGAATAAATAAGTGACTATAAGCAATGTGCCCATGATGTACTGTGAACTGCAATACTTAGATAAACTGCAGAACCCAAATAGACTTAAGTTAGTGATGTAAGAGTCTACACCCGGGATGTACACCCCAGACCTTACCCAGTTATCAGCTATAAGCACAACTGAACTAGGACTTAAAAACCCCAGACTTCTGGGGAGCGATGGGACTAACAGGATCAGGACAGAAAGACTGATACTTCCATCGCTGTTGTCCCCCCTGCACTAGACTCCTCTGGCACAGATCCAGTTCCAGCGACCCAGACTTAAGACATGTCACGGGTGAGCATCTGGGACCCTTGGGTGTAGACTCAGGACTTAGGATGTGTGTTTGAAATGTGATGAGCATTAATAAAAATAGATTTTATTAAATCTAACTGCACCTCAGACTGAGTCTATAGTAACTGCTTGTGACAGTGGAGTATGCATATAATAGCTGCTTTAAGTTCTTTGTCACATAACTCAAACACTTTTCTCATCTCAATAATGATATCTACTTTTTGTCTTTTCTCATGGAAGCTGATATTTTCCTGATTATTTATATATGACAACTTTTGTATTATAGCCTGAACATTTTGAACATTCTATGAGATTCCAGATTTTACTTAAATTCTATGACAACTATTGATATTTTTGGTTTCCAGACCTAGTTAGGTTTGTGTCAAAGGTCCAGTCAAGATTCTGGGGGCTCTCATTTTTTTCAGTTCAGTTTTCATCACCTTTGCAGTACTATTCAGATTTTTCCTTTATGTGTGCCCCCCTGGACAGGTTTGGGATATGGGAAATGAACTCCCTTATTTCAGTCCTCAAAGACTTCAGTAAGCTGTTTAGGGTCAGATACACAAATGCTCAGCTTGAGGGTGAGCCCAGAAGTTCATGAACACATGAATGAGTTCACACGTACAAGCTCTTCTTCCTCTGAGATCCCTTCAGTACTTCCTAGAGACTTGGATCTTCTGATCTTCTTCCTTTTTAACCTTCAGCCAGAAAAATGGAGATTTAGTTGCCTGTGCTACTTTGGCAACTGAACTTATATCTGGAGATAAGCAGTGGGATGACAGAGAGAAAATGAAAAAATAAGCAAAGGGAATCTTCCTATTCTTTTGGGAATCATAGCTCTAAAATAGTGAAGTTTGCCTCTCCTTAGAATCTTGGCTCCTGTGGTCTTCCACTGCAAGTGGCCTCTGTCATTGCTGCCTCAGTGTTGCTTGGGAGCTGAAGAGTGAGAGAATGTAGGGGAGAAAAAACCAAAATCGGGGTCTGCATTCTGAGCATTATGAGTTCCTTTCATGATCTTTGAGCCAGAACTAGTTTTTTCTGGGGTTCTGTCTGCCCAGGTCAATGTCCACTTCTGGATTTTAGCTGTAACAGTCAGGCTAAGAGATATCAGAGGGGAAAAATGGCAAATTCACCACCACTTCAGGATCATTTCCCTCAATATGCCTGCTGTTATTTACTTTTCAGAGGAAAATATATGCTACATGTGTTTCACCCAGTTTCATAGTTATGTTTAGTAGAAGATACTGGACACAGTGGAATTATTCTACAGTTCCTAGAGCCAGAACCCATGTTTAAGGCCACTCTGGGAGAAGGTATAGAAAGAGGGCTGAGGACTGATTTCTGGGATTCCAGAATTTACATACACAGAAGATGAGGAGAAACTAGTTTAAGAAAAAAAAAAAGCAAACTATTCTAAAACTATTCTGATTTCCATTCCTATATGCAAGGAGTTCACTTGCCACTCCTTTCTAGCAATAAGTAAAATGCCAAGTGAACTGAGAAATATATCCATAAGAAAATGAGGTCACAGGGTAAACCACCGCCACTAAAATTGGAGGGATAGATAGACGAATACAGAGAATCACAAGTGTTGATAGAAAAATCTAAATTGTAACTGAGGCATTGCTGGAGGCTCAGTGTGGATGTCTGAGAGTCAAAACCTCCAGGGGGCAGAGTTTGTGAGCTTTGCCTCA